TCGCAAGTTTGTGCTTGGCAGAAAGTAGAATTCCAGATAAATGGAAGCTAGTACAAGTATACCCAATTCCAAAAGACGAAAACTGGGGTTTTCAACTTTACAATATTAGGCCAATTGCGTTATTAGAGACATTTAGAAAGTGCATCACCCACTTATTAATGAAGAGAATGGCTAAAGTTTTTGTAGAAAACGAGATATTGTGAGGCCCAAATTATGCGGGTTTGCCAGGTTGCTCAACAGAGAAGGCAATTAACTTAGTTGAGATGGTAGTTGAAGACACTCATGAGAACAAAAAAAAGTTGTGGTTGATGCTCCAAGATATGAAGAAGGCGTACAACTCGGTGTCAATAAAAACACTTCATGCTGCATTATGCAGAATCAAGCTACCATCCAAGATAATTAGTTTTATTATTGAGCTGTTTAACAGAAGAAGAGTTAAGATAATTACTGAGTTTGGACTTACAGAAGAGTTTGAGGCAGATGATGGTATTGAACAAGGGGAGACGATTTTACCTCTAGTGTGGCGGATATTTTATGATCCGTTATTAAGAAAGATTCAAGATAATGAGAAACTGGGGTATAAAGTTAGTTCAAGTCAGGTAGTAGATTTGCAGATAAATAGTGTAGATATCAAAGTAATAAGACAAGCAGCAGTAGCATTCGCTGATGATACAACTTGGATTGCAGAAAGTAAAGCCCAAGTGGTAGAAATAATAAAAATAGCACAGAGGTTCTTTAAGTTCAACAATATTCGAATAAATAGTGCAAAGTCCAAACTCATAGCAATAAATTCGGAGTTGGAAAAGAGTGAAAGGTGAATTGAGATAGATGGGCACAAGTTACAGGCTGAAGAGAAAAAAATATTAACACGGCTGTTGGGAGTTTGGATAAGTACTAATCCACGTGAAACCTTAGTAGTTAAAAAAGCAAAGAGTATCGTAAGTCACTTTGCAAGAACATTAAGGTGTAAGAGCCTGTCTATCAGCTAACTAATTTATATAAATAATATGTGTATTGTGCCAAAATTAGCTTATATATTACAGGTAACGAAAATAACTGAAGCAAGCATAAATAGAATATACTAGCCAGTAGTAAGACTTATTAAAAACAAGATAGGTTTGCCAGTGACAGCAGGCAATTACATAGTGATGCATCAAGGGTTAGGTCATTGTAAATCCTTGAGTCAGGAGTTATTTAGCAAACAATTAGTATGCTTGCAAAATAGACTTAATAGAGTAGATCAAGTAGGGAAGATAACACAAATAAGACTAAATTAGGGGTATACACTGGCTAGGTTAGTTAAAGAAATTTGGCCAAAATCTCAAAATTGGTATCTCAAAAAGGTCTAAAAGAACAATCTGGCAGAGTCAATTTTAGTTAAAGCAAATGAGTTAGGTATATCGATCCGTGCTAATACTAAAAAGTAGCAAGTTTGTAGTACAGGTCTAACATTAGTTGAAGTAATGGAAGAGAAGATTTATAGTGCCTACTATAGCAGTATTAGAAGTTTTAACTTATTCTATATAAACCAGTTGATTGATATAACAGGTACAAGGATGATAACATAGAATAAGCTTCGTGTATTGAGAACAAAGACATTGAAAGGTCGCAAAACAAAATGGTTTAATATAATAGGGAAGAAGGTAATTAGGTATATGGAAAGTAGAGAGATAATTGATTGTTTCAAGTTGCCAGAAGAGAATTCGATATTTATGCAAACAAAGGCAGGGAAGTTGTCTGATGATCGAAGACGTTGTGAGTGGGTAATCATCAACAAAGAAAATTCAAAGTCATTAGTTGGTAGAATAAGGAAGAAAAGAAAGTCGCAGGTGTTAGTTGACTATTGAGTACCCGAGATCTCAACGTATAGTAAAGGCATTTTGAGAGAGTGCAAATATTGTAAGTTAAGTCAAGTAGCTGAGACCAATATTTGTCAACAATGGGTGAAAAAGAACAAGATTTTAGAGGAAATTCCCAAGATAAATATTGATGATGAAGAGAAGGTGCCGTTGCTGCTAAGAGAGATTAAAGGTTTTAAGTCAAAGAGTGGTGTTTTGACGAGAAAAGAAAGTAAAAAAGAAGTATGTAGTGTAGTAGTAATGGACTCTTACGAAAAAAGTTTAATTATAGAGCAGGGTTTTGATCAAGAGCTCGAGGCGCTGTTAATACAGCAAGTGGAGGAAAGTTGTAGTAGAAATATAGATAGTGGTATATATTACACAGATGGGTCTTTGATTAGAAGTAGCATAGATTATAGGATGGGTGCAGGATGGGTACAGATAGACAACTTGGAGGAAACAGTACTTGTGAAGGGAAAAATCAGATTTGGTAAATGGCTATCATTAACAAAGGCTAAGCTAGTTGCGGTGCCAATAGTAGTGCTAATAGCCAAGTGCAGAAGTGAGGTTGTAGTCAAATTAGATAGTGCTGCAGCAATTTCAAGCCTTGAAGACATATCGACACTGACAGATATAAGAGTGTTGAGTAAAAAGCAGAATGCTAGTTTAGTAGTGAAGATTAAAGATATATATAGATCAAAAGGTTTAGTTTTTCAGTTGGTCAAAGTGAAAGCACATAATAAGGTAAAATGGAATGAAAGAGCAGATCAATTAGCTAAAGAAGGCTCCCGCTTAACTCGGTGCTCGATATTACCTTTGGAGAAAAAAAAGTTTCAGTTTATCTTAATAAAACACTAGTTGAGGTTATAACAAGAAAACTAGTCAAGATGTTGATGAGTTTTAAAACCGGTGCAAAGTAGCATAACTTGAATGCTACAAGATCGTATAAGAATAAGATAAATTCAAATCATAGCTAGAAGGTGTTGTAGCATCAAAACAAGAAAGCAACTGGAATTAGGTGCAAGTTACATGTGGCTAGCAGAAATATAGCCTTCCAAATTAAATGTATTAACGACAGCTTACCAGTTTTGACGATGCTGAAGAGAAGGAAACCCGAAATATATTTTAATGATACATGCATAAGTTGCAAGTGTGCAAGAGAGGATTTTGACCATCTAGTAGAGTGTACAGGGTATATTAGTTACTGAGATATTGTAGAGGAGGTTGCATGCTTACTTGCATGGAAGAAGTTAGATTGTGCATATAAACAGACAATACCGGTTGAGAGGTTTGGTCTATTGATTGGCGGTGATACAACTGAAAAGAAGTTTAAGCAGAGAAGAGACTATATTAGAGGACTCATACTCGATAATGCAGTGGCAGAGTTGCTAGACTTGGAGCTATCTAAGAAGATTGTAAACCTAGCACTTAGTAGTTATACAGCACTTGTAGAAAGTAGTTTTCTTGATGAAATTTGGCGAATTAGATGTAACGCAGTCGCTGAGTGGGAAAAAGAAGTTGGGATAGATATAGCAATGAAGAGAAGTAACCAGAAAAGTCTTGTCAATGAGGGTGTCATTACCATTAAAAGTTCAATATCAAGAGTTGAAAAAAACAAAAGCAAAGATAGGACAAATAATGCAGTTAAGTCAATAAGTAATGAGAAAGAAGCAGAGGTTTTGCAGTTATTTGAGAAAGGTGTTATTGAATGGGTTGAGAATGGATCAACCCTATTTTGGTTTAGTTCTTGATAGAGCTAACAAGGTTTTCCAACTCACATGTGGATTGGTGCGACAAGTCACATCTAGGTGCACATGATGTAGCCAGGTGATGCCGAGTTTGCAATTTTTAATTAGATATTATTAAAAATTTTAAAACTTTGTTTTTAGTCTAATAGTAATATAATTTGTATTTGAGCACCGACAAGACTGTCAAAGAATTAAAAAAAAAAAAAAAAAAAAAATATACCAAAATATGCCAATATAACAATATTACAGTATACAGTATAGTTGTTAGTATACAGTATTAAAATTTTTGAAATAATTTGCAAATTTGCCAATATTTTTTAAATTTTTGTTTTTAAAAAGTTAAATTAATTTAAGAAGTTATCTAAATATCGCACAGTGCGATACTCTTATTTATCGCCCAACCAATCAAATTTCAGAACTAGGTGTAACATAAAAAATGCAAAAAAACTGTAATTTTTTAAAAAGCACCAATATATCAAAATTTTGCATAGGAAACAGCTCTCCATATTCTAACAAAAAAAATTTCTTGCAAAATTTTGATATAAACTATGCCCACTACAATTCCAAAACCGAACATGCTCTAACCCTAATTAAAAAAGTAAAGAGATTTATTTTTTAATTGTTTTGATCTTACGTTACACCTGTCCTTACAAAGCGTTATATAATTGTCGCATGGTGCGGTACATACATTTTTTCTTAATTTAAATTCAATATAGTATTATTGTACGTATAATTTAAAATTTTGGCGTTTATATATAAAAAACATAACAAAATTTAAATTTATTAGCAAATGTTAAAATTTATTAATAAAATTTAAAATTGTACGTACGTATTAAGTTAGCTAAAAATTGGCATCTACGTATACGTACATACTAACTATACTGTATCTGGTATTTAAAAGTACTGTATATATTGTCATATGATTATGTTGGCCGCCAAGACCTAAGCAAAATTATTATAGTGTTATATGCCGAATTCGAAACAGTGCATTGTACAAATGTAATTTACAAGGATCGTTAGTTAGTAATACAGGATGTCACACGCTCGACGTATTCTTTTATTTGAACCCATGTTTTTTCAAACTCCAGGAAAATTGTTGAATTATAAAACCTTACTTTCATTTTAATTTGAACAAAGCCACCTTTTATACGTCAAACACTTATACCTATGGACCGGCAAGGTGAAACCGTCACTAAGTGGGATGTAAACAAAGTTCATGCCTGGTTTGCTTCTCTTGGCTTTCCAAATTATGAATCGCAGATAAAAGGTAGGTTTGAAAGCATCTGTCTTATAGCTTATATCTCTGATTAAATTACATTATCATTTCTAATTTTATATTATAGAACAGGGCATAATTGGAGAGATCCTGGTTCTTTTAGACCATGAGGCACTCAAAGACCTTGGTGTTCGGTCAGTTGGTCACAGAGTTTCTATATTAAAAGCCATTTACAACCTAAAAATACAACATAACGTACCCATTGAGTTAGGCCAATATGTTCCTCCTTGTAAGTCGAGTACCTCTATATCTTCATTAAGTAATAAATAGACTTAGTTATTCACAAATCGCTTTCCTCATATTTTAGCGGCAGAATTTGAAAGTGTATGTATGTGTTCATTAGTATTTCATTGCCTTGAAATTTTGTTAATGTTATCTGCTTTAGGCAATGAACGTTACGAATGGCATTCCAGACCTTCGTAAGATCGAAGGCGCAATTCAAGAAAGAGGTGAGTATGTTAATAATTATTAAAAAATTACCTGATCTTATTAACATTTTTTTATAAAATTAGATGCCTTACTTTCGCGTTTAACGAAAGATGTACATAGGCTAACATCTGAATTGACAAAATTACGTGAAGAGATGATACCGGTTTTGAAAATGGCGAAAGAAAATAAGGTTCTTAATGAATGGTTGTTATATATATGGAGTGAGTCAGTATAAATGCACCAAACTTTTTCTAATTTTTTTTTAAAATTTAAGCAAAAATAACTCAATAATGGCTTAATCGAATTTAATAAAAAATTTTTTAAATTAATTTAAAAAAAATTTGCTTAAGCTTTTGTTCAAAAAAATTTTCATTGAAAAATTTGGTGCGTTTCTATTGACTTAACCACATATAATTAATTTTAATGAGCATTCTTTAATTTTTATTATATAAAAAAAACGACTATTAATAGCCTTTGCCCGAGCCAGAACGAAATAGCACTGACATTCCGAGTACGCCGAGTACTTCAAGAACTAACCTTTCAGTACAAGTTCCCGGGATAAGTGTTACCAATTTTTCAAAATCACCCACATACTCATCTGATGGTTCGAGCGCCCCACCTTCACCTCATTCCCCGCATGATAGTGGTAACAGTCGTCGTCATTACAACAATGAATCTGATGTAAGGGACTTTTTATGGCATTTTGATCAAAGTACTATTAGAATTAGTTTAACAGAATGCTAATCGGGATCAGGTTTTTAGTCGAGACCAAGTGCGAGCTATCACCAAACTCCAGTTATCAAAGAAGCAAATCTATTCTTTGGAAATCAATCGTATAAAAGTTTTCGTGTATCACTCGAAGACCCATGTTACAAAGTATTACCTGCCGCGCTAAAGAAATATAAAATTACAGATGATTGGCGTCAGTATGCATTGTTTATTCGCTTTGGCAGTCCAGGTAGTAAAAACGAATGGTTTTTTTATAACGATTTCAAAATATAACATTTTAATAATAATAGTGGCATCTCTTTTACAGAACATTTAATGGAACGTTGTTTGAGTTATGATGAAAAGCCCCTATTGTTGTTCCAGAAATTAAAGGAGGAACGTGAGAACCCGGTATTTATGTTGAAGAATATTAAAGAGATTAAGTCACCTGTTGCAACAGCGGAAGAAATCATTAGCTTATTGAAATCAAATAAGAAACGACGTACAACACAGTTCTTGAATAAAGAATTACCGCCAGCACCTAATGAATCTCCAAACTCTGGCCAAGAATCACCGCCCGATTATGAGTTAACAGAAGAAGAACGAATATCAGAAGAAACATTAGTAGAAGGTAATGGAACTGCCGTTGCAATATATCCTTATGTTGCAGAACTTGATGATGAACTTAATGTGGTAGTTGGAGATATTTTTAAAATTAGGAGTAGATCAGGAGGGTGGTGTTTCGTTGAGAGAGACGGACAGACAGGTTGGGTACCCGCAAATTTCTTACTTGAAACTAGTGTTAATGGAGGCGATATGATGGATAGTGACAGCCCGTATGTGGGCAGGGGAGTAGCCTTAATTGATTATAAGAGAAATACAGATGAAGAACTTAGTGTGAAAAAGGACGATATACTTCGCATTTATAAAAGACAAGATTATTGGTTGTATTGTGAAATAAATAATGAGCGTGGATGGGTGCCAAGTTGGTACGTGAGGGTGGATAAAGAAGCTATTGATGAGGAGAGCGAGGTAAATAAGTGACCCGCTTTTCTGTGACATTCAATTATATATTATTTTCAATTGTTTCATGTGGGTTTTATCTTTTAGGGTGTGCGCATATAATTTGCCAAAGGCTAATTGGATTGGGGTACCCTTATGTCAAAGAAAATACCGGAGTTGCAGATCACAGCTGATCTGGCTTCGTAGGCCGATCCTTCCTTAACATTTTGATTGGCTGTTTTCATGTAAATTATGAAATTTAACTGTTTTTTAATTATGGATTTTTATTGGGTGAATCTATTTGTCACGGCCAGTGAAACGGTGACACAGTCACGGACCAATCATATCGCCGGATCAGGTTTAACGTTCGTGTAACGTCAAACGAAAAATTTTTTTTTAAAAAAAATCGCGATCAAAATTTATACTATGAAAAACTGCTTTTTTGTGTTCTGAATTTCTTGTGAAATTTATTTGTACTATGTCCATACCCGACCCTAACTCAACTATAACCCAGACCCTAACATTTTTTGTTTTGAATTTGTTACACAATCTAATTCGTGTCATATCGTCGGTGACAGTTAGGTTTTTTTATTACGAATCTTTTTAATTTTTTTATTAAATTTTGATGCAAATATATTTAAAGCCATAATCAACGCTGAAGCCAACTAACGATTGCCCGACCTTGAAGCCAATGTTTACCTGAATTTGATGTTTATCCAGCTGCCTCGAAGCTAACAAAAACGTGTCGAAGAAAATGAAAAAAAAATACATGAATAAACAAAAAATGTCAGGAAAAAACTAATAAATGAAAAATGCACCGATGAGGATTCCTATTGAATTATGTTATTTGCAATTTCTTTATTATATTCCAATCCATGGACCCCATAAGGTAACGAATTCGATTCATTAGTGTTTAGTGGGTTTGTTTTTTCCCGAAAGATTACTGTATAACCGCGAAATAACGTTCGTGAGCGTTATTTCGAAAATTGTATCTCATATCGATATTTGTTATAAATGACGCCTCCGAAATAATGCGCCTTGCCTTATATAATTAGTAACAATAAACTCGTGATCTTGTGATCGGGAATGCGTCTTGAAATAACGCTTATAGGTCGTTATTTTTGGGTTATACGGTAATCTTTTCGTTTAATTATATCTCGAGAAATTTGGGCTTTATAGGAAAAGTGATCTTTTGGGGCTGTGTGGATTTTATGAATAAATTTGAATTTGCTAGCCATTTAAAGATCCAATATGAATAGACTTTTTTTTATTTCATAGGGCTTACAAAAAATATTCAATTGGATCATTGGATGGTGTCATTTTTTAGTAAGGAACCCTAATATCGTTATCCTTATTAGAATCAAAACCAGGATTCCGTCATCGTATGTGCCTATGATGTCTGGTAGCCCATTACCCAGTCTTAGTTTTATGATAAAGAAACCTGGGATTATATAGCCATTAGAATCACGTGAAAAGTTTGCATTTATTTCGATAATCCCATAAATTCATACTTGCACAAAATAACCTTATGCATTGTGCGATGACTTTCACGTTCGTGTCCAGAGAGCTTTATACCAGTAATGAGGCATAACTGAACTGGGACAATGCTGTTATAATCTGGATTATTTTACCAATTTTTGGAATTTTTTTTTGTCATTGATAAAGTGAATGGCGGTGTGCTTTGAAGCAAATGTACGTACGTATGTGATGTACATTGGCGTCTCGGTTCATAGTAGATAATCAGCAGAATGTATTTTAAAGTCGTTATTACCTACGTATGATGGGGGTTTTTTTTTAATGTATATGCAAGCGTCTTTTATATAGTTAGCATATTAATTGTATACACCCTTATTAGTACTCGATAGAAGTAATAAAATTCTGAGTGTCACACCAATTCTATTAAATAAAATAAATGATACTTGTGTGATAACGTATGTAAAATTCTTTCATATGGAATATATATATGGATTTGCTAAAGCTTTAAATGGCCTTATATGCTGTACTCAGTTTAAACTATAAAATTTTTACAAAAATTTTTTTCCCACAATCAAATTTTTGAATAATTTGAACATTATGTTGGAAGAAGATGCATTGTCCACCTCTTTCTTTGAACCTTCACAGTTCCAATCAGCAAGCCCAGAAATTCCTGAAGTTAGTCAATCAGCTTCATTTACTACAGATTCTTTAAATAACATTAATCCATGGGATCCTCCTCAGCTTGATTTTTCAACTACACGTATTTTGGGTGTGGTTTTTTTTTTTTATTAAACAATAAATTATGCTAGTGCTAATATATATATCATGTTTAGCCGATGTCCTATTACCTGACGTGTATAATTCTGCTTTTGCGCAAGCTTCACCGGTCGCAGGGACGGTTCCTATTTCTGCCTTGACTAAGATTTTGAGCATTAGTGGATTACCTCACGCGACCATTGAAAAAGTACGTATTACATGATATTATGATGTATGCAAATTAGATTTATTGATAATGATCTATTTTAAGATTATAAACTTGGCTGCTGCGGCAAATAGCGTTCGTGTTAATCGCGGTGAATTTAATGTAGCTCTCGCATTAGTGGCGCTAGCTCAAAAGAATATGGGTAAATAAATTTAAAGCTATGTTTAGTAGTATTATTTGTAATTTTTATTTATCTTAATTAAGAAGCCATTATAATTAAATTTTTAAGATGTTTCAATTGAGACATTAATTGAGAGAAAGAATGGTAGGTTTAAATTAGTTCTGGTTCTCTGTTTTTAATTTCTATAATTTAATATATGTATTTTTTTTTTGGTGCAGATCTTCCTGAGCCAATTTTGACAAATTTAGAGAACCTTAATTTCAATCGAGATTTGAATTCCTTTTCTGCTTCACGTCCTACATCAATGCCTCTACAAGCAGATGACCCATGGGCTATGCCTTCTGCACATTCGTCAAATCCTTCATACTCTTCACAACCAAATTTCCCTATAAATAATAACGCTGGTGCACCAGCAATTATTACTACAATGCCTAACGAAGACGAATTCCAGTGGTTTTTGGACGCGGACCTCATTACAGTAAAGATTGCGCCGGAAAAAGATGGATTTCTGTTTAAACATGTCAATTATATTCTCGAATCACAGGTAAATAAAAATATAATAACAATTCATTAATTAAAAGTCAACTATCTTATTTATCACGTGATATACTGTTTCAAGCGACATCAAACGAAAGTTATAAGAAGATATAGTGATTTTTGGTGGCTAATGGAATGCTTGGTAAAGAAATATCCTTACCGTATCTTGCCCGATCTTCCACCAAAGAAGATTGGAGGTAAATTTCCTAATTGATTATTAATTATAAATACAGCTATTAAAAAATCGGATTTTAGAGTAATCCGATATTTGTTTGATCTAGTTAACGGATTTTATTTCACAGTTGATGAATCTTTTTTGGAAAAACGGCGGAAGGGGTTGGCACGTTTTTTGAATTTTATTGTAAAACATCCAGTCTTAAAAGATGATCAATTGGTAGAAATGTTCCTTACAGAACAAATGGTAAGTTCACTAGATTTCTCTTCAAATTATAAATTCAATTTTTATGTGGTATATATACATATATACATTATTAAATTAGGAAATAGCAGTGTGGCGTAGAACAAATTCACCAGATCTAGAAGAAGAATACCTTAAAAGACAGGTTACACCTGAAATGGAACGGCGTATACCTGAAGATTTAGATAAAAGGTTAGATAAAGTTGTAAAGAAATTAGATGACACTGTTGAACATTACAGAAATATGTGCAATATAATGGAACGTATCGCCCGTCGTCAAGAAGGTTTGTGTTTAACAATATAATCAGGGTTGGTCAAATCACTGGTCAAACTGGTCTGGTCAAATGACCTAGTCTATTAAATAAATAAATTTATAAAGTAAATATATATATAAATATATATGCATATATATACTATATATATATTTAAATAACCTTTGACTAATTTGACCAATACTAAACTCTTTGACCAACTGGTCAAACTGGTTTGGTCAAGCTTAACCATTGACGGTCCGTGCCAACTCTGAATATAATATAATATCATATAATAAAGTTCACTTTACGTGTGGATTTTCCATTATTTGGGCATATTCATTATAATTTAACTTAATTTCTTTTTTTTCAATAATCCCTTACTTCAAAGGCATGGCAATTGATTATATGCGATATCGCTTGGCCTTAAAGTATGTTAATATATAATTGAAAAGTGTATACTCTTATTATTAAATTTTAATTAGTTATCTTTAATAGCTCTTTGATAGAAAAAGAAAAAGGTTGCTATATCGAAGATTGTTATAATTGTTCACAAGTAGTGCAAGGGTTAGAGCATGTATCAAGTCATTTTCAAACAACAAGTACTATCATGGAAAATGCGGTGAGCCACTTGTGACAAAGTGTTATTTGAATTTTTAGTAGAAATAATCTAAATTAATGCTTTATTTCTAAATAAAGTCTGCAGCAACGCTTGAATCCGTTTTGGAAAATTTAAAACGTCAACGTGATCTTCTTGTTTCCTTTAGAGTAAGCTTTATCCTTAATTGTACTAGTGCTGATGAATAATTGTCGATGAATAGTTAATTTATCATATACCCTTGATTCAGGAAACCTTTGAACGAAAGGATCGGTTAGCCGTAAATACAATCGATTCCCTCAATACCCGAATAATATCTAATACAGCTCGTCTTACACAACTGTCTGACAATGATCCGGAAGTAGAAAAATTAAATGCTTCAATTCAAAAAGTAACTATTTTTGGCTTTTTTTTTATACACCAGCGATTTTCTATGAATTCAATTAATCTTATATATGATTGTTGATTTAAAGGATCAAGAAGATATTAAACACCAACGAATGCGAAAAACCTTCATGCGTTATTGCCTATTTTCCGAATTAACCCTGTTCCATAAAAGCTCCACTTTCATCTCGCATTTATATCAGAATTTCGTAAACGATCAAATCAAATATTCACAACAGCTTTACGAAAATTGGAAAGCATTGAGTCCAAAAGTATATGATATGCCTGTTGAAGCAAACGGATTTAGTTAAAGTTGTCTTTGACCTTGTAAAATATATATTGGAAGGGGGGTAAATGAAGGAAATGAACTAATGAAGGAAATTAAATATTTGAAAGTAATATATAATATATTTACATTTATATTTATTACTTATTCGTGTATGATATAGAAATTATCACACATTTATAAATATTGCCAACAATATTTCATTACAAAATTTTATACGTGGATGATATTTTACACATTTTTTTTATAATTTAACAAGCAATAGAAAATTATAATTTTTTTTTTTTTGAATACAATTAGTAAGAGATCTGTTTTTATTTGAAATTATTAGTGATAGCGATAATTGAACTAAAAAATTGATGTATATATGCATCGCATGGGTGTAGTGATTTTATTCGTTGCTTGCTTGTTTGTGTAAAAATTTACCCAAAGTGCCGGCATAATTACGCATTTGCATTATCTTGTAAATGTCAGTATTAAACGAACACGTATATACTGTGTATATTTTTATTAATTAGTACAGTGTTGTCCACTGCACTGGTCTTAACCGGATGGAACTGGAAGCATAATTAAGCATTATTGCTTCTAATGAATAGTTTATCATTGGAACTTCCGTTCCAGTGACCAATCACCTACCCGTTTAAAATATAATTACTACGTAGTGTTACGATCAATTCATAATATTAGTGTAAAATTGGCCTTGTACATTTTAGGAAATGTTAGTCTATTAATAAATTTCTTGATACGTATACGTAGGGGATCCTTAAAGCAGGGCGATCACGTAACAGAACGTTTTTTTATTAACATTGGGTTAGTTACTTTAGATTAGAGACTAATACTATCTTTTTAATACGTATTTTTTATTTATGTTTTTTATAAGGCCATGCAAATTTAATTAATTGGTTTTCATAACATGAAACTTTTGGGTCAGTCGGCTTTTTTTTTTTTTATAAAAATTATACGTATAAAAAAAATGGTTAAATCCACCCAGTTATTAAGACATCAAATTTTGGTTATGGAAAACCAATTACTGAATCAATTAATTTTGCATGGCCTAATTTTGATTGAATACGTACGTATAATTATTGCTTTAATATACAGTATATAGTTATTAATTAATTACTAGATTTAGTTATTTATTAATTATAATACGTAGATAACTATACAAAAACAATATATATTATTAAAAAATATTATTTTATTAGATTATACATGTACAGTCATACCTCTTTATAATCACCCCCTATATAATCACATCATATAAAAACCTTTTTATAATCACACCTATATCTTCGCCCAATTACTATCTAATATATAACAAAAGACCTCTATATAAGCACACCTCTTTACAAGAACATTTTTTTAAAAAAAGTTCCTATGGTTCCAAAAGTGTGATTATAAAGAGGTACAACTGTATACGTAACTTTAATAAAAAATTACTACAAAACACTAGTGGTGTTCAATATCTGTATAATTTTTTAAGGCTATACTGCAGTTTGGAATATATTGTAATGACCTGTGGGTCGATAGCATAGCGGTTATGCTCCCAGGTTGCAAATTGAATAGTTGCCAGTTCAATTCCTCCCAACGGCAAATTAATGAAAATTTGAAAATGGAAGTGAAACACCGTGGGGTATAGGGAACCCGGGATATCTATAAATAGACGTATTCTGAGAAGTTGTGGCTGTGAAGCGAGGCGTGTTAGAACCCCGATTTGGAATAACCGAAGTCATGAAACGTAATATGAGGCCAAGTTTAATAAAGATACTACTGTACAAGAACTCGTGGTAACACTGGATTGGCTAGTGAAAGTTTAGTACAGTAATAAGGTGATCTGATCTCTTCGGAGAATGGTGCAGGTGGTCGGTTCTAGGTACCTAAATAGGCAACCAGGTAGAGTCGGGCCTATTCCGAATATACTCATAATGGTAGAAATACTTGATTTGTAGTCGCCCCTCTGTAGAGGGGTGGGTAGTAGGGATAGTTGGTCACGGCAAGACTTAGCTGAAGTATAAAAAAAAAAAAAAAAAAAAAAAGAATATATTGTAATATAGTAGACTTTGGTAGCAGTAAACTATATTACTTGACTTAGTGTCAAGAGGGTAAGAAATATAAATAATATAAAATAAATACTAAAGATAAAATTAAAAGAGCTAAAATAAAGGTAAAGTAAAAAAAATATATCAAGTGTATATGTATAAACTAATAGAAATAAATAAAGAAAAATATAAAGAAACTAAAAATAAAAAGACAATAAAAAGACAATAATTCCACTATAAAAAAAGATGACAGAATATAAAACATATATAAAGTAAGTATTTCACAAGATAATATCAGTTTATTAGATAAAAAGAAGAAAGTACAGGAGACCACTAAGTCTAAGACAAAATCTAAGACCAAATCTTAGACAAAAATCTACCCAAGCCTTAGACAAAAAGGCTAGGTTTATATATCTTTTACAATTCTAATTAATTACTAATTATAGTTTGTATTATTGTACTATTGTATTAAAGAAACTTGTTAAAGAGACTTGTCAAAGAGACTTGTCAAAGATACTAGTCAAAGAGACTTGTTAAAGATACTAGTCAAAGAGACTTATCAAAGATACTAGCTAATGAGACTAACCAAAGAGACTAGCTAAAGAGACTACCATATATTGCTGAAAATAAGCCACCTCCGAAAATAAGCTACCCCCTTTTTTCTTGGAGAAGAAATATAGAAAAATTTGTAATTCCGAAAATAAGCTACCCCTGATAATTTTTCAAAATCCAGAAGTAGTTTCTATATATAAAAGTCAAAATTCTATTAAGTAAATCTATGAAAGTCACTTAATAGAGATTGTTCAGGACGTAAAAATACACATATCCTAAAAGTTTGAAGCAAATCGGAGAACTTTTTACTAAGATGTTTTTGCATTTTATGTTTGAATGTAAAATGCAAAAACATCTTAGTAAAAAGTTCTTTGATTTGCTTCAAACTTTCAGGATATGTGTATTTTTATATTCTGAACAACCCCTATTAAGTGACTTTCATCTATTTACTTAATAGAATTTTGACTTTTATATATATAAGCTACTTCTAGATTTTAAAAAATTATCAGAGATAGCTTATTTTCGGAATAAAGATTTTTCTTATATTTCTTCTCCAAGAAAAGAGGGGGTAGCTTATTTTTGGAGGTAGCTTA